GGGAAAACCAGGCAACACAGGTACCCAGGGAAGCTGCAAGGAGCCAGCAGATACAAGGCAGGGGTTGCTGGGATCCAGGGAGATCCTGGAGGGGTTTTCGCTTGAGTATTAGTTGGCAAGGAACCAGAGGTTTAGGTAGTGGCTATGAGGGTGGTGTGGAGGCCATAGGTGGGTGCCTGGGAAGCACTTTGCAGTAGGAGAGGCTAAGGCCCAGAGAGAGAGCCCTGCAAGGGTCTTGGACCCAGTGAGCTTCAAGGGTCTAAAGCAAAACAGAGGCTAGAGATAGCAGCAGCCAGGGACTGAGGGGCTGAACCCAGTGCAGGGCCAGGGGCCCAGTGAGAAAGAGAGAGGCAGGTCCTGGGGCACTATGCAACAAAGACAGATAGTGCTCCAGCTAGGATCAGCAACCTGGTGCCTAGTGGTAGGCCACAGCATTAAGATGGAGGGCCTAGAGAATGAGATGGCAGGGCTAGGAAGTCTGGTGACCAGGAGGACAGAATAATATCTGTGAGGAATGGGCATGGCTATGAGGGGCAGCTGGAAGCCATGATTATAGCCCTTAAGGCAATTAAGACTGAGGGTTACAACTGGGAATGATAGGGCCAAGTGTCAGAGAGCCAGTGTTCAGAAGGGTCAGAGCCCTGAGCAGAGAGATTGTAGGCAATGAACTTGGAGCCCTGAGTTAAGTGAGCCAATTTGGGGAAATACCAAGAGAAAGAGGAGGAGTCCTGATGAAGGCAGAGAGCTGAGTCTCAGGAGGAACAGAACTGAATGGAGCACCCAGACCTCACTGGCCTCTGAGGGCAGCTTCCCCAATTGTCTTTTACCATCAATGCATGGCAGATGAGGCAGCAGGGTGAGACCTCTAAAAGGCTAGAGAAGTAAGTAGGCCAGGATTAAAGCAGCCACCAAAGGGTCTCAAAGCCACCCTTGAGGCCAGTCCTGTCACAGTGCCTAAGTTCACTTAAACGCCTAGAAGTCTGGGCTCACTTGGAAACTGATGCTGTAGTCTGTGCTCACTCAGAGTAGACCTTCAGGCAATTGTTGATGTCTTTAGTGAGGCATACAAGAAAATGGGACTAATGCTTAACATTCAAAATACTAAGGTCCTCCATCAACAAGTTCTTAATGAGTAATTCCCAGGTCCAGTAAATCAGATTCACAGTGAGACTCTGGAGAACACAATTTCCCATACCTTGGAAACCATCTCTTGCAGAAGACTGCCATTGAGGAAGAAATACAACATCGCCTCAAATGTGCAAGTGCAACTTTCAGATACCTGTGGAAATGGGTGTTTGAAGATTGTGACATCAGATCGGAAACCAAACTCATGGTTTATCAAGCAGTCATGATCCCCATGGATTGGCCTTATCAGCCATCTTCAGGTCCACAGATAAGACAATCATGATGAAAGACAGTCATCCTCAACTGTGAGGGATTGCTGATGAGGTGGGATAGAATCTGGCCCTTCATGTCTTCATAACCACCACTGTAGGGAAGGACAATAAGAGAGTGCTACCATGCACTGGTATAACTTTATTTTAGCTTTCATTAACTAAATTACAAAACTAAGAACTAGGTCCATCACCGCTTTCCTGAGAGCCATGACACGCCAAACCATTGTGATTATGGATTAAGGTCTCAGTCTTAGCACTACCTAGTGAAACTCCAGCTTCTGTTCCAGCCATAAATTGGCTTCTTTACATGTTTCCCATCCAAGGAATTCTTTTCCCTGAGCCCCCTAAATTCAGG